GTGCTGCATCATAAAAGAGAGCATCAGTTCTATAGCGAGTAGTTTACAAACTGTTTATCGCTTAATATAGGTCATCTTTGCTCATTCCAGGTTTGCCAGCACTGTAGTTCATAGAAGATATGATTGCTGGCCCATTAAAATGGGTGCAGAGCAATTCGCACGACTGCAGTGTTCTCCACATAAGGCCACCGCTGCGCGACACACCCTGCGGCGTCTTTTGCATGAAAGCCGAGGGAAGAAATGTTTTTGCAAAGCACAAGCGAAGAAAAGATTCTGCCGTGCGAGTGACATGTTGAGATAAGTATTAGAGTGACGCTGAAGACCGCCCGTGCAGAAAGATCGTCTCCTTTGAATTTTTTAAATCTGTATGACTGCGTCGAAAGCTTTTGGGAGCTGGAAAACATTTTATTTGACAACCCAAGAAAGGAACTCTAAACCCGTTTCAATAATTTTCCGCCAATACCACTTACATCTTTAGCAGGTTGCTCGAGAATATATAAGCACATAGCCAAGGACTTGAATCATTAAGTATAAAATCGTTCCACTTAGCAGAGATTTCTACAATAAGATTGCTACAGCAGCGATGTTCCAACGGCTTTGATTGAACACTAGATCCTGATAAAGGTTTTCTATAAGAATTGGTTTTGTTTGAAGCCTTTGTAGTGCTCCACTCTAAACTAGTTTAGAAGTTCACTCTTTTGATTTTACATTCTCGTATTGTTAAATATGTGTAGCGGGAACTCAAAAGGTGCCCTGCCTTTTATTCATTGTAGCATTTACATCTACGAACTCTTACACCGATAAACTATGGTATTTCTTACTGCGCGTTTCGCTGTACACGACGGTTATGGAGGAGGCAATCGCAGACTTCTACAGGAGCGCCCGATAAAGATTATAAGTGCAGCTAGATGGGAATTGATTCGTAAGAGAAAACAATCTTCCACATTGGACCATACTGCACTCCAAATTCCATGTATTGGGTCGGTTCGAAATGTAAACGCATGAATTACTCAGAACAATCCTCATGTGCAGTTGCTAAGCCTTGAGGGGGTAAATGGGGTGCCTTGAGGGGGTCCATCTTATAATTATCTCATCACCAGAGGAAAAGGAACTGTGAATTTATAGAAACTCCACCTTAAGCTTACCGAGTGAGGGCTACAGACCACCACTGGCATGCGCCGAGAGAATATGAGCTGTGCTTGCCGGCTACGAAGGGTGTTGGTCAAAATCTGCACAACTCCGGAATGGGACAAGTTCTTTTGTTGTGGCGACGCATTCCTCTTTCTATTCATTTTTGGATTTCTAGCGGGCATTCAGCAGGCTTCTAATGTTTTGCGCTCCGCTACCTCTAGCTCTCGGAAAAAAGTTGATGTAGAGATATCATATTTTGCTCTTTGGCGCAACTCAGGAAGCGTGTAGGGGCGTGATCTCGATTTACTCACCCCGTTTGTGTGCGCTTTGATTCTCAGAACACAGCGGCCTACCCGTCTTGCCGGTGCCACATGATTTGAACTTCAAGGGACAGATCATGCCAAGCATATGCAGCCTCTCTGTTTATTCTTAGCGCAAATCACGCAAACTGTTGTTGTGCAGGCTTATCTTGTGCTCTATTTCCCACCAATCGCTCTAGGTTCGAGGGAGGGATCATCTTGCAAAGAATGCTGCAGGCCTGCCCTTACGCACGTCCTTATCGCACTGCTCAAAGTGTCCGAAATGAAGAGAAAACAAAACACTTCGTCACTAAGTTCACCCTGCAGCCTGACAGTGCGCCGCACTAAACTTCCCTCATGTCCGCTAACTTGCGCAATATGGAGTGCCTTACTGATTGGCGCTGCTCAAGAGTGCCATCAGATAACAGCCTCTTGGCCGTTTGAAGTAAATTTCCAATCACGCTGATTTTTTGTACGGAAAGGATGTGTGTATTCGGGTATTTTTGCGCTTTCTATGCCAACTAGTTCTACCTTCTCCTTTGCTTAAGCTTTCTGATCTTTGAAAACGAAGAAACTTCCAAAAATCAATTATTTAAGCATCGACTCTACGAAGCAAATGAGCATCCGCCTTGAATATTAGTTTTCGGATTTTCCGGATACAATCAGGGGGCGTTCAAAAATAAGAATTATGTTATTTTATCCTCGCAAACTTCATGACTCGAGAAAAAAATCGACTAAAAGAGGAAAACAACCGATCGAATGTCCAACTTGCTTGCTGATGGACGTCCTAAGCTTTGACCAGATATGGAATCTGCTAACATCAAAAAATTTTTGAAGTCTTAAAGAGCGGCTATAAATGCCAAAAAACGTATTGCACTGCACCTTGCTTTGTCTATCCACCGGTTTGCAAAGCATTTTCAGGAGTGCAAATGAAAATCTTGGGGAATTGCTAGGGTTGAACATGGTATTAGGGTGAACGGTAAAAAATGGGACACCTTGAGAATAATTGCAGATTTCTCAAGGAAGAAAAGTGACTGAACTTTCCAATTTTGATGGATATTAGAATAAATTATTCTCTTTCAGATAGCACCTATATAAGGTCATTTAAATTATTGATAATTTTTATACTTGCTAAAATGCAAAGTTAGTTACTTCGAGAAATTGTGAAGTTTGAGCAGTATCGGCGCAGTGAAACATGTGAGACCACCCAAAGTACCGCTGCTGGAGTGAGTGGTGGGACAGTCACCAAACCCACGACGGCTTGGTGGCTTTAACTCTCAATGTCAGGAGATATACCCATTAACAGCTTCGAAAATAAAGATACGCGTTATTCAATTCTTTGCAGGTAAACGCATGATTTCTGGGCATCATTTGATAGAGCTTTTTACGCTCTATCCATCCATATGCAGCTTACTTCAGATTTTATCTATCTTCGGAAAATATAGGGCAAAACATGATTTTTTGGTTTTTTGTTGCGCCAAAAATAGCTATTTTTCAGGTTTTTTCGAATTTTTTTTCTGAAATTGAAAAGAAATCTCATGCATTTAACATATCGTTCGAAAGAGCATGAAGAGCTCTTTCGAATGGTATGTCATTTGCTTTACGACTTTACGGTATAACAGCGCAAGATTGAGGATTGTGCAAAAAACTCTGTTCGAGTTCTTCACGGCGCCACGTGTAGGGTAGTGGAAGAGGAGCGTTAACGCGTTGTCAGAATAATAAGCGAAGGTCGCCCATGTAAGCGACGTTTAAGTTGCTGCTTACTTGCTATTGCCAGAAACAAAAAATTCCAAAATGTAATGAAAATCAAGCTGTCCCATTTTTTACCGTTCACCCTAATAATAAGTGAAGACAAGTACCGCAAGATCAGGGATGAATGCTTGAAGGCAGGGGCTCGGCAAATTTTCAGCTTCGGGGTTTTGGCAGATTTGGGGCTATTCCGGCCCCCTGAATCACGAATGAACTCCCTTTGCGCTTGAGAAAAAGCCAGTCTTTTGAACCCCCTTGAGACGGACGCGGACGAGTGAGCCATTTTCTTTGCCGTCAGAGACGCAGAGTAAGGAGGTAGAGAGCGCTAGAACAATTCTGCTCTACGAAGTTACGAGTGATGGTCCGTTTTCTAGCGGCGAACATACTCGTCCGACAAAATGTTAGGGGAGCGAAAGGAGGAAGGGGAGCGGAGCTTGGCTCACCCCCCTGGCTTGCAGAATTCACATTTTCGGCTCGGAATTGCTCTTTTGGTTCACTTGGAGGGCCTCCTATCCATCTATGTCAGATTCTGAGGTAGGTCTATTCTGCCGAGCCGCTGCCTTTAAGGGAGAGAAGCTGCGCTGAACAGTGACGTCTGATTTTTTTTTATATTAGGTTGAAAAGCGGCACAAACCCGTGGACCGATTTGATATGACCCGACCCGGCAAATGCTTTCATCTAAAAACTTGTGCGTGTAGGTTAGGGGCCCATGAGTGCCGATAGGCCCATCCTGCGCGGACGCTGCTACAAATCTGTAATGTCTGTGGTATGCGTGTCTGCCTGGTTTCATGTACGCGTGAGAAGACCTACCTTTGGCCCCTGCAGGCTTCATATCGCTTCCAAACAGTGGAGAAGTGCTGCAAATTTTTCAATCATCAGTTCTTGAAAGTGAGTTCTTTAACTCCACTGGCCCCAGAAAGCCGAAACAAGTCGGGGTAAGCTCAAACAGCTATTGCAGAATTGAGTTTGTGCTAGCAAATCTTATGGAGCTTGGGTGGAAAGCTTCTTCCGAAATGAATTCAATGGGGTTCAGGCACAACTCCAAAGGGTAGGCGGCCTGAACTTTTATGATTTTGTGCGTAATCCTCCTTGACTTGTCTTCAAGATTCAGAAACCGCTTCATTCCTGCTATGAGTATTGAGCTCAAAGCCTTTTCCCGCTACAGCGAAAATTGGAGCCAAACATCCCACCCCTAGGGGAATTACGGCTCTTTTAACAGGCCCATTCAGGTCATCAGCCGTCAAATTACGTGGATTGTAACGTGCAGTCACAGAAAATTGGAAGTACACACTTCAAAAATTTAGAGACTTTTTTTCAGAAAAGGATGATATCTTCCAGAGTTCACAATCGGTGTTCCGGAGGTAAAGAGGAGGAAGAGGGGCTCGTTTGGGAGCTTTCAGAGAGGGGGAGGGAAGGGGGGGGGATCGTATTCAAAAGACTTGTGTCTGAACCCTTGCTCAACTCTGCATATAGCCCTCTACCCACCCCCGGATATCCTTTAGCTCACCCTATAGTCAAAGCATTTTCAACATAACTATTTCGTTCTGTCACATTGCCGGATTGTTCATACAGCCACAATTTATTTTCGACTTCAATCAAACTTTCGATAATTGAGACTAGTTTATTTATAAATTTTGGAAAAGGAATTAAGAGATATTTAAGAGAGTCTATGAGGCAATAAAGATAAAGGCAATGTAAGAGGGAGTACGGTAGAAGTGGATTGTATGCAGTAAAGTGAAATTTTTTATGGGAGATTTGGCAAACATTCATACAGACAGATGAAGTTACACAAGGAGTTGAAATACAAAGCACACTTATAAACTCGTAGATCATTCAAAATTTATAATATGTTTATTCTCTTCTATGATGAAGAACATGATTTACAGCAAAAATCTCTGTAACGTTTCTTCGCACACAAACCATTCTGTACTATTAATGCACATGTTTTTTGTGTACCAATATCTTTTGCGCAAGAAGGAACTCCAGTCGTAGTGACAAATGCTAGAATATTTAGTTTTTTCTCTTCTTCAGGTAGGATAAAAGAGCACTTACAAGTGACAGTTATGGTGAGAGAGTTGCTTTCAATACCATCTGCTCCTGCAGCACATCGGTATTCACCGCTGTCTGCCGGCATAGCGCGAGCTATGACGACCTTTCTGAACCGGTCATCTTCCTAGAAATTGGATTCTTAGTTCATAAGTCTTATTGTAGAAGAAGGCGAAGAGTAGGTACCTGGATTCTTCTGGTAAATTGTAGTAGTTGCCCATCTTTTCGCCAAACAATCGGCCGCAAATCTTCACTGTCACATGTCAGTTCGATCTTGAAAAGATATAGCACTTGGACAGGGTTCAAAGGCAGTGACTTCGAAATATTGCAATTGGGACTTTCTATCCCCCCCCCCTTGGCCTTCTGGACGCTTCTGGACGCGCTGAGTACAGGGCTGTGCTTGAAAGGTCAAAATAGTGCCTTTCACGGCATTTTCCGGTCTTGGAGATTGCTGGAGGGGATGGGCGAACAATCACCAACTGAGTCGCAATTGGCTGCCTGAGCAGATCAGCCAACTGGTGGCAAAATGGGTGGAGTTACAGTTTCCAGCAGCCAATCACAGTTTTGGGCGTATTCGGGCGCCCAGCGCCCAGCCCCTTCAGCAATCTCCGAGGCCCGAAAAGGCCAAGAGCACTTTTTTGAATTTTAAGCACAGTCCTGTACTCAGTGGACCCAGAAAGACACGTAGATGTGGAAAGCTAGCAGTTGCAATTTTTTCGAGCACTGCCTTTAAAAGAATCAATGGACCAAAGGTAATGCGATTTTATAGCTCCCAGATGAACCTCATTATTTGTGAATGGCTGCTCAAGTAGCTTAAGCAGTGATTTGGACAACCCAAACTTGCTCAATCATTCCTCTCCTCGCCGCCCCCACCCCTCCTTCCCGTGCCGCGAAATTTTTCAAAAGTTGCCCAGATGCGTTGTAATTGTGCGACGTTCTTATTGGCTGAATAAGTTCAGAATTTTGCAGATTCGTAACACCCAAACTAGTTTACGAAAAAAATTTTTTTGAGACCTTGGGTGCTAGCACGGCCCTTGTTCTCTAAATTTGAAAAATGAAAGCCTGGTAAGTATATGAAAAGCATTCCAAAGATTTTTTGGAGTACTGGATAAAAAAACCTACCTATACTTTGTCCCTATTCGAACAAAAGTTCTGGAATGCCACTACGTGTAGTGTGTTGACGACTTCTCGGAAGCAATGTTTCAAATTTTAATCATTTTTTCGTCGATTGTTCTCGAAAGAATCAAGGAATGAATCAGGCAATAGGTAATAGCGGTTATTGACCTATGATTTGACTTTGAAAGTGATGGTGATGCTCTCCTATATATCCTTCCAGTCCTTCCCTCGATTATTGAGGACCTCTTAGATTAGATTTTGAGATCGGTATTATTTACTTTTCAGGAGATCTGACTCAAACTTTTCCACATCTCAAAATTTACAGTAAGTTTATTACAATCACCCTCATTTTGAAATCACTACTGGTTTACACTGTTTTGCAATTTGAATATTCGAGTGGCAGATTCTTGTAGTAAGAAAAATTTCAAAAATTTTCTGTACATTGCTTGAAATGACGATATTCGCAGTCCCCGCCCCCACCCCCTCCACATTACTGGGAAACTGCAAAGCTGAGTGCTACTCGTAAGTAAAAGCTACCTTATCTCCTTCTGTGAAATTTCCAACTGGATTAGCATAGAGTCGCACGTCAGGTATCTTTTTAGCAGGTTTTATAACAATATCTTCGTCTCCTACGATTACGCTGAAGGCATCATCTTCTATTTTTTCTATACATCTCCTTTCGCAACGTTCCTTTGTAGGGAATCTGCAAAAAAATTTGTTACATTGGTTTTTTTATGAAATCGTCATACCTGTTTTCGTTGCCACGACAGCCAGAGTAGGTAAACTGCTTGCAGGTTTCTTCATTTGAATCAAAATACCACATGGAAATGGCATCACGACATGGACCAGATGAGCGTGGTAATTTACTGGAAAGGGCGCAAATTATTATAACCAGACATGTTTGAACTAAAATCTACTAACCAAACATCTGCTCTGTCTTCCCATGATGTTTCTTCTCGGCAAAGAGATTCGCAATCTTCCCTCGACGAGAATCTGAGGACGGTGTTGAATAGCAGCTCGATTTTTTTTGAATGAGAGTAAGTTACCTATTCCCGTTTCCACCACATCCGGTCCAGTACATTATTTGACAAGTGTCTTTACCCTTATCGTAATACCATTTGCTCACTGATGCTTCACAATGGCCAACTTCGGGAGGAAGCAAGCAAACGGGTGTTGCTCGCCACGATCCACAAGCGCGTTCGCAATCTTCCTAAAAATAAATGGTACAAATGAAATTTCACAGTTAGATATTTGGCTGGTATAATCCAAAAATATTTGAAAATGGTCACTGTTAACTGGAAGGCATTAGCTGTCCGATCTATCCGATAACCTACTGACATAACATAAAGTGAATTATAGTTGTCCTCATTTCAGCAATCGCCAATTCAAGAAAAAAATTCAATAAGTGGAAACCCAATAAAACATTTCTACTAACAATTATCTTCTTAATATTTCTTCGCCCTTTATAAGGTTTCTGTAACCTAAAAACGTATGAACACTGCTGCTCCAGTGCAGATTAGAAATGGTGCATTCACACAAAATGCCTGCAAAAATGACGCTTAGTCCATGTATTTAAAGGCAGTGTCCCGGCAGATCCGCGCCCTGGGGGATATTGCTATAGTGGGGTTCCTGGTCATCCCACTGAACCTCCACGCGCAGTCCGGCTGGTTTGATGTTCCCCCTAGGCCGGGAAAACAGCCCTTGAACCGGCACGCGCAACCCAAATCGGAGCGCGCTCGTACGACTTCGTTTATCGCTCGGCGCGGGACCCCACGACCGCTCTCCCGGATTGTGCATGCTATCCAAAGCAAAAATTACAGGCAGCAGGGTCTTCGTGCCAGGGCCTCCCAACATTCCACTGAAAATCTCGTCCGAGCTGCCTTTTGAAAGTTGGGTAAACGCCGCGAATAAGGCCTTTTCACGCGTTTCAGAGCTCAAATACGGGTCTACGGGTCGAAAAGGCCCAAATATGCGAAAAGAGAAATGCAAAATCTGCCGGGACACTGCCTTTAAGCAGTTAAGTGGGATATCTCGGTCTCATGAAATTCATAAGGTGCATGAAAATAAACCTTTCTCTATATAGTTTGTTGGTATAGACTTGAATTGGCGAAGGATGTTCCTTACTCATGCTAGAGATTGCTCTTTCTTCGCACGTCAACCTGTGCAAACAACAGGAACTATTTTTTTCATTTTCATCATAAGCCCGCCTATTTTTGCATATTAGATACTAAAGCTCCTAGAAAACCTTACGAATTTGTCACTAGACAAGTTCGTCTTCTTCCTTCCTAAGTTAATGGTTACAATACCTCGCTAGTGAAGTGATTAGCATTCATGTCGCATCCACCATACATAAATGATGTGCAGGACTTTTTCTCAGGGTCGAATCTGAAAGAAAAGCTGAAGAGTAGAGAAACATGTGAAGGTACTTGTTTGTGTTGAATCTAGTATTCCAGAAAAACCTCGCATGTACACATTTTCTCTCGATTCAGGATGTAAGATTGTGCAAAGTTCTGGACTTACCTCCATCGAAGAATATCGTCGTAACATGATCCATGTTCTTCTGGTAAACCACACAACTCAGGAAGTGTATATGGTGAAAGCGGGCCACGTTGTACTGCCAGGACCTGGACCAATAACTTGATAAACGAGCTTCTTCACTGAACTAAACTTACTTTCTTCTCGTCATAGTCAATACCGCGCAGCGCATCATCATTGGCTTCGCTGCTCTCCGGTTCATATCTATCCGTAAATCCTGGCTCACCTTCTTTTTCGATCTGTTTCGGGGAATTTGGTTCGTCTTCGAAGAATGAACGGGCAAGCTCTCGCCGTTCCTAAAATAGCCCATTTAATTTTTTTCAAAGTGTTGCATAGGGAATGGTACCAACTTGATGACGATGCGCACATCGCGCAGCGCAGTCATCGGCGGTCTCGAAACGATTTGCGTTACCACCACAACCACCATAAATAAATTCTCGGCATATTCCATTGGTGTAATCATAGTAGTAGTTTGTTATGTAGGCCCTGAAATTGTCTTGCATTAGGAAAATTCAAAAAAAATACCCCTCACGATTACACAAAATGCGGAATGAAAGCTTGATCTTCGTGATCAGCTTTCATTCCGCATTTTCAAGCAATCCCCCATTCAAAGTTGTCACCAAATCAAAAATTTTTCTCGACTACCATATACCCACCGTAACCCAAGGATAAGGCACTATCATAAGGAACGAGTATTATTCGTGGTGAGTATAGCAAATGACGGCAAAATCTGATATTTTAATTTTTTGGGGTAGGTGTCCTGCAAAAGTATCAAATCAACGTAAAATATAGTACTACTCAAAAACACCCTCTTATTTTCCATTTTTTCCGTAAAATTCACGATTTTGACTTTCAGTTGCGGGTTCATGAGTTTAGATAGCCTTTTATGAATTTCTCGTATGTTACCTGCACTCTCCTGCATCCAAAGGCAAAAGACATAAGTCGATGTTTGGCTTCGGTACGTTCTCCTCATCATTTTTCATTGGGTCATCTCTCATTGAACGCTGTTGCGGCTCTTGATTTGTGTACTCTAAAATTTTGAAGTATGCGTGAGAGTGGGTATGCTCAGAGATAGAGGCAAATGTAATGTCCGATAGAAAAACAATTTTATAGCTCTTTGTGGCTTTTGACGTTGTTAGAAAAAATAGGAGCCGGCAGAGGCAGTCCGAGAAATTTTGTCCGTGAGGTACGAAGCCCTGCCTTCCGAAATATTCGCATCAACTTTTTGGAGGGTCTATGACCCTAAAATTGCTGAGGAAGGGGCTTTGAAGCACCCACGCCCCTCGAGGGCATCTTTACGAGGCTATCCTTCCAATTTTTTGCATCCAAATTGTTAAAAAATTTTACTAATCATTCCATTCATTTCTAAGCGAAAACAGGTCCATAGCAGACTTAAGCAACAAGATTTCACTCACACTCCAGTACTTATTCCTTTTTTAAATACGGAAGAACTTTCTCAGCCACATGTCTTTTGAGGAACGCGGCTACTCTTTCAATCATTCCAAAACATTACAGTGCATGGTACATAAAACACCGTTTTTTGTCTCTTGTGAAAAAATGGTTTGCAGGTCGCACAGTATTGTCTTTGGGGCAATCTCTGGAAGAGTAACATGAACCATAGAAAAGTTTGCGTGACTACTTTTTCATTCAACTAGCTAGGCGGCTGGAGGGCGGGGCTTCGTGACCTATTTAAGGCTAGATAATGATCAGAAAGCACGCCTGACAGAGACACCGCGTCTGGGCGCGAGCGGCCTTACTAGGTGACAAAGTCCCTCCTTCTAGCCGCCAAGTCAACTGAATCAAAGGTTACTTGAACATCTATTAGCAGATAGAATGGTGCTATGAGGGGTGTCTTTAATTTGCTAGTTTTCAGCTCGTGACGACGGATTTGACTGCGGTCTTTGCTCCCACAGGGGCATAACACCCTCAAACAAAAAGTCATCACCCTAACGCTCAGCTCAGTCACTTCCAGTGTCCAAGTACTGTCATATCTAAGCAGAAGTCAGTCGAGTAGGGATTATAACCAATAATATGGTCGCCAAAAGGCGCGTGCGTGTCGCGCGCGTAGCGCCATCGTCACGATTTTTCGAACGCCCTATATGCAGCTAAGTATAAGATTTGTTCCGAATTTGAGTTTGAATTCGATCACTAATTTGATTTTAGATCTTGACATGCGGAAGCATAGCAAATACTCATGCATTTATAGTCTCCTATCCTAGCAAAGCAGAATAAAGCCGTAAGCGACCAGCGTTTGCATTCAAAAAGCGTTGCACTAGCTTTCCTCAAAGAGAAATATACTTTATTCGGACCTGCTAAGTTACTTTAACAGAACATATATGGGCAGTATGTGGCAGGAGTGAATGGGAGAGATGAGGGAAGGTAAAACGAGCAAAACATAAATTGTAAGAGAGAACCACGGAAAAATAGGGATTCTCTAAGACGAGGCAGGGCAAAGCAAGGAATACGACGTGGAGTGGCAAACAACGGCTATACTTGATACGAGGCAAGAAGTGCTAGATGTCCGGGGTAACAGTAGTGCGTACGAGATACAACGACTTCGGAAAATAATGTAAAATATTGCACATTTTCTATGGCAAAGGGGTAAAGAGGGTAGGGTTGGATTTGTACGACTACACGAGAACAATAAAACAAACACATTGGGGGTAAACGACATTATTATGACAAATAAAATGCTCGACAATATTCTCAAAGCGAAAGAATCGCGTTCAAGATAGGATAGTGTGGCGGCGCGTACGTGCAGCGCGTGCATGCGGCGTGTGCGTGCGTGTGCGATGCGTACGACGTATCACTTACGCGAACAGCGCGCTTGGCATTCTTCTTGTGTTGAGAAACGATTCGTATTGCCCAAACATCCACCATAGACGAATTTCTCACATTGTTTTGAGATTGTGTTGAAATAGTAGTACTCGTGTTTACCAGAGCATGGACCTTGCACTTTTGGCAATGTGCAGGCATCTGTAAACATGGTAAAAATGAGGAATTGGAACAAAAATATGAAAATTTCTTACCTTGGTGGTTTGCGCAAGCTGCTTTACAACTTTGCTCGTTGTCGAATCGATTTCCGGTACCTTCACAGCCTCCATAATGGAATCGGTTGCAAGTGCCGTCAACCTATAGGTAACTCATAAATACCGCCCGTGGTAAGAGCAGGTAAGGGACTTACTTTGTTGTAGTACCACTTCGTTACGAAGTTGGTGCATGGACCAGTGTCTTTGATCTCATCACAAATAGAAGTTTCTTCACCAGATTCTGAACCTTTGCAATCATCATTTGAAAAATCAAAAATTCTTCGGTTTTCGGAAAAAAATTAGGGAAAGTCTTGATTTATATATTAATTGCAGAGCTAATTGATGTTACATATTTATTTTCCCACTTTGATCTTAAAAAATATTGTGTTTTTCATTACAAGATCTGCCCCAAACGGGAACAAATCAAAGCATCCGATTTGTAGCGGCACGCCCCTTTGCTAGGAGTGCTGGCACTTTGTCAATCAGAGGCCGAAGAGGAAAAGACGCAGACATGGTCCTGCCACGAAATGATGAGGTAGTGTGAAGTTACAAAACGGGCGAGCCTCTTCACAATTTTGGTTTGTTCTGCGTGGGGTAAAACTATAGATGACACCAGAGATCATTTTATGAGGCGCCAAGGAACCCACAGGTGATTTTCACTAATCAAATTAAAATGCGGTCGGTTTCTTTTTTATGAAGCAAGAACATTTCCAAATAGGATCGCCTCGGCGTTTTGCCAAAAAAGAGGGGAAAGCAATATTTGCCGCGTGCGCGACGCGTAAACGCAAGTCAGTCAGGGCGGTTATTGGATACTGTAGTGCAAAGCGTCCGCCTTCCTTTAGCTCACCTCTACTAGCCGAAGATTCAGGCTGGCGCACACAAGTGGACTCGCATTCTTCTCTCGATGCGAATCGATTAGCATTTCCAGAACATCCAGAATATTTAAACTCCACGCATGATCCGGTAGCCAGCTCATAGTACCAGCTATCAAAGGATCCTTGGCATTTGCCAACATCAAGCGGTAGATGACAGACTTGTCGGGATTTACCTGAAATGGTAGCGAATGCAGTAAGTTCTCTTCCTATCGTAACTGAAGCTAACCCTGGGTTTGAGATGGCTGTGGAACACCTGGGAATGGTGGTCGTACCATATCCTGTGGTTGTTGCTGTGATTGCTGAGGATACTGTGGATTTTGCGGATACTGTGGATTCTGTGGGTACTGTGGATGTTGGGGATACTGTGGATTCTGTGGTTGTTGCTGTCGAGCGTCTGGTTGTTGTGGTTGTTGTTCATCACGATCATAGTCTGTAAATACCGTAATTATACCGTACTCTAGCAGTAATCTTTTGGAGGTGAATTTACTTGGTGATTGTGGATTTTGTGGATTTCCTTGGCCTTCGGCACCTCGTCTTGCGCTCATGAAACCACATCTTCGCATGCATTCGTCTTCCGTGCGGAATCTGTTCAGGTTTCCACCGCATCCACCATAGATGAATGTTTGGCAGGTTCCTAGAAAGCATTTTAAATTTTATGGGTAAGGCTCAACGGGTGAGAGGACCTTTGTATGCATCATAATAGTACTGATCCGAGTAGTCCTGGCATGGTCCGGAATCTTGCGTGGATCGGCAGACCTCCTCGATTGTGGCTAAAAGATAAGTTACTGGAGTGTGCTCAAGTGGTTTGAGCTCAGTTGACTCAAGTTCGATTTCTTTAAGTCTTAACCTTTTTTAAAATTCTTGAAGAAAAGATGATTGAGGTAGTAAATGAAATGAAGGTCGGCTTGCTACAAAAATGTGATGAGCGTTTATTCAAGAATGGTTTTCCACAATTTTAATGTGGATACTGAGGGAGGTCTTAGCACATGAAAAAATCCATCTAAATTCTCGCCCAGACCGTGTTGTTTCCGAGGACCAACCAGCGTACTGTACTTTACGTGGAGGCTGATTGGCCCGTTCGTGAAACGTCCTATAATTCCTTGGACACGGAACAATAGGATCTTTCTGATCAATGGCTGACTTAAAATTCCCCAATCAGTTTCCACCCTAAGAACTCTAAGTACTCAAATATGTAGGAAGGCATCCTTCAATAATGTTATGCAATATCAGTAATTTAAGAGGTCCATTCCGATGCCCCAACGACTGTGGTCACTCCACTGCCAAAAAGTGCAATTTTTCTCGCAAATCGATGTCATGGAAATTTCCTTGAATTTCTTTCCAATAAACTGAAAGATTTCACAACTGACGCATTGGAGGACGTGCTCGTTCATCAGCTGGCGGACGTTGTCGTACATCAGCTGGTGGAGGTCGTCGTTCATCAACTGGTGGACGTTGTCGTTCATCAACTGGTGGACGTGCTCGTTCGTCACTTCTTGGACCTGGTTCTTGTGCAGGTTGTTCTTCGGAGGCGGGAGGATTTATTGCGAACTAAATTTGATAAAGTCATGAAATTTGAAAAAAAAAGATTTTTTAGAAGAAATTACATCGTTTTCGTTTTCATCTACATCAACTGGCGGTAGGAATGGCTGAGGTGGTGGTGGTGGAGGTGGCGCTGGAGTCGTGGACACCTCGTATGGTCCCACATCCTTACAATAAGTCTAAAAACTCCAAATTTTTGAGGTTCCTTGATTCCCCCCCCCCCCCCAAATAAGCTACATACACTGCATTCTTCCCAGGAACCAAAGTTATTAGCATTTCCGTGGCATCCTCTCCACCAGAATGCTGCGCATTGCTTGGTATTGTAGTCGTACCAATATCTAGCCTGTGGAACATCGCATCTCAGTGGTCCCTCAACTTTGGGTAGGTAGCATCGTCCTGGAAATTTCCAATTTTGCCTAAGGGCCACTTTTACCATGGAAGGAACTTACCAATGCCTGGTGGCTCAACGCAGATCGTCTCGCATTGCTCCTTCGTGGCAAATCTATTGTCGTTACCCTCACAACCTCCATACCAGAACTGTGAACAACGTCCTTCGGTAGTATCGTAGTACCACACCTGGAATTACTCCATGGACAACTGTCACAACTCGGAGGTCAAAGAAAGAGTGACGTACGAGTTTATAACCAGATGAGCATACTGATCCCTGGTCTTGTGGCAGGGCACATGATGAGATCTTCGATGGAGCAACGGTTCCTCCAAGAAGGAATGGAGCCAGGGTGGTTGATGGACATCCAGCATAATCGGGACCAATGGCTTTACTTTCACCGTCAGGGCAGCAACCATATCTGTAACCACGATCACCATATTTGCTTGTGTAGAAGAATATTCATTTTCAGGTCCACCTTGGTGTCCCAGAAGGGTACGTCCCACAACTTAGCTTTCTTGAACTAGAAATACCTACTTGGCATATCTGCAGTCATCGCATCCATCGTTTCTTGGTCCCAGAGCTGTGGTTTCTCCATCAGGGCAGCATCCATATCTTGTGTATTGGCATGGACAACCTTCCTTATGTGATCCACGAGCTGGGGTCTTGCCATCAGGGCAACACCCGAACTGGCCTGAAAAGAGTACGGTAAGGATACGATTACCCTTTTGCTAGGAATATCATAAAAACTGTGCACACATCATCTACACGTTTCTGGAGTATGGACCACGAGCTGCCAGAAACAGGGCATGGTCGGAGGTTTTTCCACCAATCACAAATGATCTATACGCCCCGACCACGCCCTTTTTGGTTGTACACCTACTCCTTACGTCTTACTTCTTGCTTACCGGATTTGGGGAATTACTCTAAGTAAAAACTTACTTTGCGCGCAAGTGTCTGGACATCCATAGAATCCAGCTCCCTTAGCCGAAGTCTTCCCATCGGGACAGCATCCATATTGTGCGTAAACACAACCGCATCCTTCATTATGGTGACCTTTAGCGGTAGTCTTACCATCGGGACAGCAACCGTACCTAGAATATCGTCTTGAGAATGAAAATTTTCAGAAAAGAAATTAGGACTCACTTGGTAGTCAAGCAATTTTCTCCACATCCGGTGCCATTGGGTCCTAGTGCGGCAGTCTCGCCATCGGAACAACATCCATATGAGGATAATTCGCAAGGGAAGGACGACCTGAAAGTTTTTAGATGCAACACAAACTCATTTTTAATCTTCTACAATAACATAACCAGCTAATCGTACTCTTTGGGATAGAGAATTTGGGTCACACAAAGGGACGTGGCCTTAGTTGCATCCACCAATCACAGATGACTTCTTTGCTCCGACCACGCCCATTTTTTGATTGAATCTAACAAATCACAAAAAATGGCTTTCTGTTACAAACCTTTCACATCCAGCATAATGTGGCCCAAAAGCTATCGTCTTCCTATCTTTACAACATCCATACAGTGATCCTGCGCATGTTGGCTCGCCACACCCTTCAAGGTTTGGCCCACGGGCGAGCGTAACTTCGTCATGACAGCAACCATACTCGGTTTCATTACAAACTCCTGAAAAGATTTCATCAAGTTACCTGATGAATTTTTATTCATAGGGAACCATACCAAGTACGAAGACTGGGCAACCAGCATTATTTGGCCCTTCTGCGGGTGTGTACCAGTCTGGACAACATCCAAATTCTGACTTTGAGCAATGCATAGTGGAATTAGTGTCCGTGTCGGTAGTGTTGGTATCGGTGCTGTTTCCTACAATTTTTTTTAGTTTGTATTTTTCTAGTTTCTAAAAATATAAGGTTATGCTCAGTTCCAACGGCTGTACGAAGAAAACTCTTTGGACTTAGGTTTTTATCACTATTCAAGATTCAAGGCATGCGGAGGTAGATAGAAGATTAGTTTTTGATGAAATAAACTATTCGACTAGATTTCTGAGACGTGCCTCAAAACTATTTGTTAGCAAATAATTTTGTTCACTTTGTCAATCTGATACTCACCAAAGAAATCATCGGTATCAGTAGAAGTAGCATTTGCAATGGCACAGCTAACAGTGGCCGTTTCGCCATCTTCATTTGTGACCTGGCATTCCTAGAAATACGATTTATTTCCTTTTTCGATCAAAATCGTCATAGAATCTATAAAGCATGAAGTGATTCTAATACTCCGAATGTTATAATACCCAAACAAACACGTCAAACGTTATATGGTAACTGCGCGAGAAAGCGACTACTTAACCTTTGATTCACTGCCTTGGCGGCTGGAAGGCGGGGCTTCGTGACCTAATTAAGGCGGCTCGCGCCCGCGACGCAGTTTGCGTCTCTTCAGCGCGCGTGTCCTCTGATCATTACCTAGCCTTAATTAGGTCACGAAGCCCCGCCTTCCAGCCGCCAAGTTTGTTGAATCAAAGAATATATATACATGCTCAGTGTAACTGGTTCTCATCTCTAAAGTATTAGGTTGGAAACTAAGTTTTGCAACTGGTCTCATAACTTCCCTCTCACTCAACATGGCGCACTCAAATTTTGCCACTGCGTTGGTTATTACGTAAGCTACAAGCACAGCTACTGTCCTACCAAATTCTGACGTCGCAGTGAGGGTTACGGTAGGTGCATGGTATGAAGGGGAAAAATTCAAAGTTTGATGGATTTAGCTGAAACTTGGCATAGGGATGTTATCCGACATGCTGATCACGAAAACCATAGTGAAATTGCGTGATAAAGGGCTTTTTTGTGGGACTACTGTAGGTGTACGATATGGGTCTCACCCTAAACAAGGAAAAAGGCGTTGATTCAACAAATGAATGTGATATCCGCGTTTGGCAGGTCAATTAACCTTACTATGTAAAGTCTCGGCGGAATTTGAGCTTCGGACTCTTTAGTCATTGACGGTCGTTCCCAGCAGCTTTTGCGTACATCGACTTGTTCGAGTTTATGAGAACGCCAAATCTCGACGTGCCGCTAAAATTTGTTTCTTTTTTACTAGGCCAAAGGAGTCAACCTCCAGCAATAATTTATAGACGAATCCGGATTACTGCGCATGGTCTTGGCTGCCAAAGGCTTCATTTCAGCTTGAAACCTCAAAAATTCACAAATTTTACTAGTTTCCGAAAAACGTCTAAAACTTTTCTATTTCGTGTTCAAAATTTAGTCAATTTGTGCCCACTTGTAGCTCACATTGCCTTCTACATAATGCCAAAGTTTGAGTGCGCCATATCCAAAGAGAGCGGAGTTATAAAACTAGTTGCAAAACTTAGTTTCCAGCCTAATAAAATATTCTGCTTAGGCTCTGATCTAAAGCCCAGATATCTTCTGAAAGCAAATAAAAAAATTTAACCCACATCTTGGTCGCCAGATCCTTCCTCATCTTTTGCTTCTTCCAAATTCAAAGGCGACTCGACAAATTCAGGACAACCCATGCCATTTTTACCGGTCGCTTCGGTGTAGTTATCAGCACAACAACCAAATTCGCTTATTGAACAATTTGAGCAGCCCTAAAAAAGAAAAATTTTGACAATGTAAATTTCTGAGATCGTCGATATGAACCTGATTGAAGTCTCCGGTAGCAAAAGTGCTGTTATCCGGACAGCAACCAAAATCGGAGTCGAAGCAAGCTAAAAAAATGAAGCTTGTGTTTTTTCCCTAGAATATTTCAAAAAAATAGGGGCAAACATACTTGGGCATGGGTCCTTGTTACATTCTTGTTTGAGTTCAGGTTTGTCCTCCTCATCACACCATTCTGGCACCGGCTGCTTGTCATAATTCAAACAAACTGCCATACGCTCTTGTTCACCACCTCCGCACCTGTCATGGAAGAATTTTAACTCACTTTATCAAGTTGCTAAAAAAGTTTTTGGGCATTTAGACTAAAATTGACGTTAATCGGGGTCTAGTGCGTGCATGAGAGTCAAAATTCGATGTTGCTCTCCCGCATGTAACGATTCAACTGGCTTGGCAGGTGGAGGGCGGGGCTTTGTGACCTGTTAAGGATGCTCTCCCCGCGACGCAGTCTGTGTCCCTCTCGCGCGTGCTCTCTAATCATGACGTAGCCTTAGGTGGGTCACGAAGCCCACCTTCTAGTCGCCAAGCCAGTTGAATGAAAGGGTATGTGCATTTGCGCAGATGCGAGGAGCTAGCGTCAGCAGGGGCGGAGTTTGTCACCAAGTTACCTCGCTTTTCTTGTTTGAACGCGAATTCCTTTAATTTTTATGCGTTTTTAAGTGTAATATATTGGAATATATAGGAGTGTCGTAATGTTAATAAAAAGTCGAGATTTGTTTTTGGGCAAAATATGTTATCGAGCAGCTCTATTTTCATATAAATCGATTCTTTCTTGGTATCTTGTTGTAGAGCTCGCTTTTCGGTGTCTGACGGTGTGCTGTACCCTTTGAATCAACTGGATTGGTGGCTGGAAAGCGGAACCACCTAATTAAGGCCGCTTGCGCCCGCGACGCAGTCGGCGTCTCTCTCACGCTCGTGCTCTCTGATCACTCTCTCGCCTTAACTAGGTCACGAAGTCCGCCTCCTAGCCTCCAATCCATTTGAATTAAAGGGTATGCCTTGTTTAGTGCTTGTATAGAAGCAAAAAATATGTCGAATTTTAATGTCCGAGAACTTCTTTGTGGGCTGGACCAAATATTGAGCAAAAGAGGAACAACTAACTCAGCGCTGCATGGAGACCATGGTCCGCTATACCATGTTCCTGTGCACTTCTCTTCATTTGTGCAGTTTGTCTTGGCTTCAGGCTTATCACCGCTGCACAGGCCTTCATCGACGATCTTAAAGAAACAAATTGGACTTCCGTCAAGTCAAAATTAATGATTTCTTACCGTGATGTCGCCTTCCTCAAGGATTGCGCAGATCACTCGTCGAGTTTTGTGTCCATGACCACATTCTGTCGAACATTTGGACCATTGACTGGCAGTCCATTCGTAGATACATGGTTGTTGGGTAGCACAAGATCTAGAATAAGTAGTTTGTCTTATTTTTATAAATATATTGCATTTTCACTAATCATAATTATTTGAGCTTGTAGAGCATTTCTGAGTCAGGAAAGGAAAGAGGTGAAAGAAAATCTTCGAAATATTAGTTAGAAGTAGTTGATCAGCAAATCACTACAAAGCCACACCCCCGTAGACTCTTCCCCCACCCCCCCCCCCCCCCACCCCTCGTCCGTGTTTCACCGAAAAAATTTGTGATTCCGACTGTGAGTAAAGCGAGTTTTCCATATTTACTTTTTTTAAGCTTTTCTTTTGTCCAGGCGATTACTATATAGAGAACAATATATTCAGTTAACTTAAAATCAAAGTACAGGAGGGCTTACTAGCTTCTGTGTTTTTGAATTTCGCAGATTTCGGATTTTATACCATCATTGATAATTTATTGATTTTTGAATTGAACTGTGTGTCTAATAGCACGTGTTCCCCACTACGTAAAAATGTTTCGGAAAGAAGACGGTGCTTGTTCCTGGTGACAAAAACGTTAAAGAGTTGTTACTGCTTCTATTCGCTGCAGAACCTACATCTTTGAACTCACCTCGTGTCTGGCGGAATTTCCTTCTCATCTTCTGTCAAACATTTCTCCAATGGGTAAGCTCTACCCATTTGGTCTTTGCAGGTAACCTCACGAGTTTCCTCGGTGTCGTTACACTTGGAGCACTAAAGAGCAGAAGTTTTTACCAGCTACTTTTTTTTTCTTGATAATCATCCTTTTCTTACCAATTTCCAATCGGTAGTGTAGAATTTAAGACCTTCGCATGGTCCAAGGTTGCAAGGTCTCTGTGATTCGACGGTTTGTGAGGGGTCACAAGCCTGAAAAAAAAAACCAGGCTAAGTTTTTTTTATTAATTGGATCCCTTTTTCAAAAATTGCTACTCACATCTGCAGGAAGCAATTTTCCTTCTTCTCCTTCTTTTTCTGATCGGCAAGTTACTGAACGATATTGGTAAGCATCTCCACATTTCTCAGAACAAGCTGACCATGGACCTGCTTGCCATTCAGGACAAGAAAACCTGAAAAATTCGAGGACTAACCAATTACTGTCCTTTCAAAAATAATTTGCCACTTTTTTGAGAGAAAAACTCTCAGATTGCTTTGAATTGAATATATCTGACTTCAAATGCCATAAACTACCAGAAAATTCCAAACAATTTTTTGCGCCCTCTTCATAACTTCAAAAACATCACTTTGAATTGTAAAAATTTGGTGTTTTTTACCAGTTGCCTTGCCCTTACTCGCTAATTCCGTGTTAAACGTGTCTCTACACAGTTGGCATGTCCACACGTGTTACAACAGAGGCTAACAACATTGTCCTCATCGAAATTCGATGTCAAAATGAGCGATTGCCACTCATCAATCGTGAAATGTCATGTCCGAACTTGAGCTGACAAAGAACTTATTGATTTTTTCATGCATGGGATCATATAAAAGGAGATTTTTGAGAAATGTGGGTAGTAGGAAAACATCTCCTCAGGGCGGTAAATCTAACAGATACTCAAATAAGGTCACATTTTTTGTGATTTTGAAGGCTTCATCGAGGGCAACGTCTGATTTTGCTGGCCTTTCTAAGAAGCAGTTTTGCACTAAAACCTTGTTGATACCCATGTATTCCCTCTCGTCACAGATGGGCCATTCTATGTTTTGTCAATTATCAAATGCATTTTCAGTTTTACATAGATCAAACACTCCTCCCTTTGAGATTATTTTTTGCAAAATGTTTTTTTTCTCTCAATGACGTAATCCGCTGTTTTTTCCCATAGCAAGCACTTATAGAGCTCACCTGTTGCATGTTTGCTGTACTGATGGACGTTCGCTAGTACAATTGGCATCATCAACGGTAACACGCTTGCCATTAGCGAAGACCTGAAAGTGAAAGTATATAAGCTCCCCGAAAGGAATAAACGGAAATTAGAATCGCAACGCATGAGTATTTCCACTAGAAAAGTCCCATTTGGACTGGTACTTGTTATTGCGAACCAATCAATCAATTAATCGAATTAATCAGTTAGAGTAAGAAATTCTTGAAGTTCTATATTTGAAATTTTAGTCGATTATTTTTGCAATTTTAAGTGAAATGTGAATTTTAGGCTAAAACGTAAACTAATTTGGCCTTCATAAATTTTACAATTTTCTCTGCAAAAACACTTGAGACGTTGAATATGGATGTTGCAGCTCCGCCCCTTGTGGCAAGCTCCGCCTACTTCAGAAAATACTTGAACTCTTCTCAGCCATTTTTTGTTATATTATGCCCATTTGTGTTTCACCTTTTTTATTCCATCTCTTTGATTACCTACCTGATGACAGTAAACCACGCGATATTGCTCTCCTTGGTCTCCACAACTCTGTGAGCACGGTTCCCAATCTCCTTCAAACCATTCGGCTGCACAATCAACAGTTTCACATTCTTTCTCGAACTAAAAGTAGTGTAGATTAGTCGTCGATATCTGTCACAAATCTGCTATTCTAATTCACCTCAGGCTTGGTAGCATTAGCATTGTCACACATTGCATCATTTACACGTCGTTGCGTTTTTGTGTCAATACAGTATGGCGTTCGGGTTTGGACACCTAAAAGATGGTTATTGATTGGAAGAGGATAACACTCTAATCTCTTTACCTTTTCCGCATGTTACCGTACATGCGGACCATTCTCCAGGCTTATACATATAGTCGACATCTTCAACAATAGGAATGGAGAACTCATACTTTATTGCAGCGTCGCGGTTCCCTTTGCGGAAGAGGACGGATACGGTAACGTCCTTCAAGTATAGAGCTACGGCCCTGTTTTTGATTATAAGAATTCATAAGTACATACGTCCTTCAGTGGTCCCTTGGCGGTGATTCGCTCTGGCTTTGAGTCATCGTACTCGAAATAAACACCATTTACTTCGACGTCCTTTTCCACTTGGATCATAGAATTTCCGTTGAGGAAGAAATGGTCCGACGAGTTTTTCAGAGCTAGAACAGACTCATATATTAGGAGAAGATGTGACAACCTGAAAATTGATCATACCCAGGTTATTTGAGCTCGGTCGAGCCTCTTCAATCTTGATTGCGGTGGCACCGGCGGGTAATCGCATCACATCGTGATATCCCGGTGACAGATTACGTTCATCGAACATGCCTTCTATAGTTTTGCATTTGGAGCCATCGCCATCGCAGACTCCACATTTGTCGACTTTTAGAGCTAAATAAAATAGTAACTGTAATGTGATATGTGAGTCTGCACACCTTGCGCGGCACCGACGACACCCTTAATAGCAGCTTCTCAGTAAAACCTAGTAGAACCTTTTCTAGTTTAATCTGTAGAAACTACTGACTAGTACGTATTCAGTCAATGAGAGAGACAACGAAACAAGGAGAATCACTAGAAATAAGCTAGTTCTAATCTTAGAAGCCGTCAAGTAGCGCGCATGACGGCAATACGCATATTAAGGCACTCTTTGCATTCTTGTTCTGGTAAGTTTCTATTTTGCATGTATTTTTATTCGTTTATTAGAATAGTTTTAGAGATACAAGTACGACTCTCATATTGATTGATATGAGAATTATTTTTGCAATTCTGCTTTAAAATTATAGTCTCATGCAATCATTGCGCACTAATTCAAAACTCATTTATGATTTCGAAAGTGAATTTTTATTTTCATTTGAAACCAATTAAAAAAGTTTTTTTGCTAGTCGCTTCTTTTTCTGTAAGCTAGCTATTTCCAACTTTACCCGTGCTAATTAGCATTGGGCTTTTTCCGTCCTGTCTCTATTACTGCAAAAAAAAATATTTTCAATTCTCAATTCCATTTCCATTCTCTTCGCCTTCCCCCCCCCCCCCCTTGCAACGACTACATTGTTTGTCATGCAGAATTCATGTATATATTCCAGCCTGGAACATAAACATTTGCGGGCCACACAAGACTCGTCATGGAAAGTTTGTGCGTGATAACTAAGCTTCTGCTTTTCTTGCAAGCAAAAATTTTAGAAATTTACAGAGCCGTGAAAATCAGAACAGAGAATTGAACTCTTCAAGAATGACTTTCAAGCGTAGGACTTTCATCTTCGTAGAAATCTAACAATTTTGAATAGTGTTTTGCTCCAAGAATTTCAAATGGTGTTCCCGATGAGTTTGCAAAATCTTAGTGGTCGTTTTGAACATTCTTGATGCATTTGTACATTCAAGCAAAGACGACTGGTATGGTATCAATTTTTGTCGTTCGATTATGATATATTTGATAATAAGAAGCAGCACAGTTTTCAGAATGGAATGAAGAGCTTACACGGGAATGAAAAGAAGAGGAGAGAAATGACGTGATTACACAACGACGGTTTTGTGATGCAAAAGAGCCCACTTCAAATAATGAGGGAGAACAGAGATTTTACAAGAATTTGTATTGAGGTAATGTCAATATCGGTTTATTCTGAAGTTAGGTCATGACTGAGAAAAGATATCAGGCTAAAAGGTTTAGAGCGTTTATCAAGAAGTCACATACCCGATCCAAGTTTTCCATCGCAACCAACCGGTAGACATACACCATCTACGCAGATATCGTCACTCTTGGCGTCGCACTTGGTGCCATCGACGACTTTGTCGTCCCATTTGTAGTAGAAATTACCATTTTCGGGTTTGCAAAGCAATTCACATCTGGAATTACGATACTCTGTACGTTTGAAATGTAAGCCAATAGTGTAATCCGTATCTACGAGTTGTTATGTAATTGGCAGCCGTTCCGCCAGACATTGGCAGCAGAAGTGCAACAGACTTCGGCTGGTTGCGCAACATTAGTTCTCGAGTTACAGTAGACTATCACAGTAGAAATCGATACCCACTTGTTTTTGCCTTTGTAAGGTTGCCATTTGTGGTAGTGGCCATCAAGAGCATCGTCATTATGCTGAGCGCACTGCTCCGCGCGGAAATCCGTTCCATCCGCACAGGGGTCTAGATTGCACGAGACGTACCGAACTGATGGTCCGGTGCAATCTCCACTAAAAAGATACATATTGATTTTGACGAGTAACTTCATCTATGATAGTACTGTAGTCCTATGACTCATTCCAAATTGTTTGTTTTTTTTTTCATGAATTATTTACTTCAGGAAGTTTAGTCAATTATCACATCTGCGCATCTACAGATGTTGTTGATTGACGTGGGCCATAGCTATGAGATTGATATAAACAATCAAGCGTAGCTTACGCTGTGCTGTCTGAGATGGCACTGATGTCAAAAAAGTTCGAGAGGTCAAATTTCTTACATTAGCAAACGGCGAAAACACTTTATCCAATTCTGAATTGGAATGGTTATCAAAGCAGAGCGCTTGTCCTAAAATTTTGGCCACATAGTGCAACCGCACAATCACTGATGTAGATTAAATGTTTAGGTTGAAAATGCGCTTATTGTCTTTCGCACTTGCACCAAACCGATTTGGTTTGAATATTATAAGTCATGGGCGCTTGAGATCAAAACAACCTTTCTACATCTGTATAAAATTCCGATGTAACGTTTATTTTGTCACTTTTACCTAGAACTCAAAGGCACTCCCCATGGACCTTATCCCTCATCGACCCGTACATTTCTTTTTGAATATCTTGCAAGTAATCTTGAATAGTCTATTAGAAATGTTCAAAGTTCCTGACGTGAAATAAAAATAATATTGCAGATCTGATTTTTTATAAGTCCCTTCCTGAAAAAATCAATTTACGAACTTCGGGAGAAATAATCCACCACTGCTGTCTTTAGCCGCAAATAAGGTTACGAAGATCTGGTTCTCACAGCTCTAGGGCTATTGGCTTACTGTTTTTGTGAGAGCACCCCACTTCCTTGTCCTTCTCTTCCCGAGAGCAAGAAGATTTTTGAACTTTTGAGGGAGGGGTTGAGTTTCAATGAGCCTAATAAGAAGCCGCAATCGATTCGCGACTTTGCAGCTGTAAATGCCGATTTTAAACTGTAGTTCTAAGTTTGAACTCCTCGCAATATGGCGTAAGAGTGTAAATATTGTCGATTTTCTTTGCAGAATTTCTGACTCAGCTGCTCTAAAAGCAATAACGATGTAGGAGGGCCAGACAGCTGCTTTTCGTTTGGACCTCTCATGACTAGATTTGTTATGAATTTAAGAAAGGAGCTTACGAGCATTGACGCTTCTCGATTTGTACACCACCACCGCATGTTCGCGAACATTCTTCGGGTGTCCATTGTCCCCATGGTCCAGACTCAGTTTGTCCAGTTTTGTCTAGACTAACGGATGAATCGCCATCAACATAGACCTAGAAGAATTGTTGTAAAGAATAATTAAGACGCGCCTCAAACTGCTGGAATAAAAAAAATAACCCAGAACCTGGGCACATTGCCAACAATGATCAGTTTTTGTTTGAAAAAATATATGATTTCGAAATAAAACATGCGGGTTATGAGTGCGAAATTATGGACGGAGGGGGGGGGGAAGGAAGAGCAGAGAAGAATAGGAAGAGTTTTTCAGCAACAGTTTTTCCTTAGTCATGGATCATTTCGCCCATTTAATCAAATTTTTTGCGATGTAGTTACACGAGTTATGAAGTGAAGATAAAAGCAAGACGGATATTTTCTTCCCCCAAGAAAGCTCAAATTCAAGCAAATTTTAAGAGTTGATGGAAAATAAGAATCATTTGCTGAAAGTGCCATAAATGATGTTTCATCAGACTAAAGATTATTCGTGAGCAAAATTCACAGCCGAATTCATTATTACTGAAAGTGGCCACGATTTTTTTAAAAATGTGGATGGGTAACGTTTCAGTGCCAATGCAGACCTACTAATTCAAAAAGCAATTTTTTAACGACCTACTTGATACGCTTGCCGCTTGGCTCTGGCAGGTGCTGGATCTGTTTCTGGTGGTGATAATGGATGCAAATATGGTGAAGTTGGCTGTAAATATTTTCTTAGTTACACCCATTTGAACAAAAAAAATGTCTTACCTGATTAGAGAATAGTGATAATGAGAACGCATCTAAGGCGTTAAAAAGCGCCACTGAGATCAGTAGCGCCTTCATCGTGTAGACCCTAAAAAGATCGAGAGACTTTACTCGTGGACAACTGGTACGATAATGGGGGTCATAAGAGGCTGACAGCGACTGCAAAACTTGACCAGATGCCAATGGCGTCGCGTAAACGAACTAGAGCACATATAGTATAAACAAAGGGGCCAATACGGACAACGTACATACGGTATCACGACGACCCCCTCACGGACCATCGCAGCCGAGGGGACCGGGCGCGGAGACGCCGAGTGCACTCACACGATGAGGGCCGAGGACTACGACGGACCTTTTTGCAGAGAAACAACAGCGATGATACGCGCAATTACGAGTGATTCAGCGATTTTTGCACATTAAATCGCTGGCAATTGTCATGCAATATTCTCGGCGGACATTGGGCACTGGAGAGTGTAAGAAAATGTGAAAATGCGGAAGTGAATATCAAGGGAGTGATGAATCATGGGTACCATATCAATTCTTGGAAAGCTTCTTGAAAAATTGTCGCAAAAGTTATGAAAAGCAAACAATGAGGGTAAGGGCTATAAGCAGCGTAATAATTGGCAAAACTGAGATAAAAAGCCTTTTGCTAATATCTCATGGGTTGAATTTGCTTGTCCCTCAATCTACTATTAAGCTCGAAAACAAGCTACAAAAACAAAAGTAGTTTGTGTACAGAAAGTTCTCTATAACTTTCCCACGTTGTTAAATGTAGTACATCGTCTCAAATGATTTCCTTCACGAAGGAGTTGCATTTGGATATTTCTAATGTATACCAAAACCTGTACCTTTCTTGGCAACTAGGAATTAAATTTTCCAATCTGAAATCGATGGCAATTTCCCTTGAATTATTTTCTTTAAGTTGCTCCAAAACAGCGGTTTCATCTGGCTGCAAAATGATTAGCACCGTCAAACAAAAATGTCTTCTATTGGATTCTTAACAACATTTTGGAGGAAGATCTGAACAAGAACAGAAGTCTATCTGACAATTGACCACAAACGTTTTCTCATCTCAAACATGGAGTCTTCCTAAGTAATTTCATTTCCAAAAAACTTACGGACAACATGACAATAGATATTTCTTTGCTCTTGCGATGTGCGACCAAAAGTTTACTAATAAACGATGAATACGAAGTTTTCATAGCCACCAGTAGAAGTTCTGCTATTCAAATCTTGGTGAGAATGAGGACCACAAAACTCAAAATCATAAATGTTTCACAAGTTCATCAAAAAGACGTAAAAAATTGCATAAGCCCCACTGACAACACCAAAGAAACTTCATGAGGTACTAAAAATCGCGAAGGTCACTGCGATAAGGCGAGCAAAGTGATTATAATGCGCTATGTTATGTTTGTACGTTGATAGAATGCTTCTGTCAGTTATGGAGTCACGGAAAACATTTCGAGGTGACACGGGAATTTACAACGGAGACAATTGGCTCAGTGAAAGTGATGAGCTACAATGAGCTGTTGCTATTATGACAGCTATAGGTGGCTTGTGCTTCCTGGCTGCGATTATTTTCGATAGCATCGCTTTTTTTTCTGGAGCTTTTCTTATCAAAAAATAAACAATATAGTTGCTGGAGAGATTGAATCTGCAGGGAGATAACGTACAACCATGCATTTCGAAGTGCAAATTGTAATCGTTTTTGACTTCATTGAGGAGTCAAAATAAACACTTGAAGGGAATATTGCAGTATAATAGGTAAAGTAGGTGTGAGGAGGACAGAGTAAGAGACGAGTTGCAGGAAATACGTCTAAAACCGGTAAAGATACTGTTTTAAAGCGAGCCCCATTTTTCATATAAATTACCGCAATTTCACGCGTACAAAGCGCACCTTTTTCGATTTTTCGACTAAGCCCCTCAGCCACTTTAAATTATTTCGGAAAGCGATCCTTATACCGTACGATTCTCTTAAGCAATCAACAGCAAGGCATAGGGTCCTTTGGTTGCGAAGTTCTTTGGCGTTTTGGGCTGGTCGATTTTGGAAAAAAAATCCCCCGCGCCTTGTACGCGTGAAATTAGGGTATAAACAGTAGTCATTTTCCTTGATCTACAAAAAGGGAAAGCAGAGATTAGATGTTAAAAGAAAAATTTTGAAAAAAAAAGCAAGTGTGAAGTTCAAGCTTCTAATGCAGCTGAGAACAATGGAAAGTTAGTGCATAGAAACTGCTAATTTATAAAGAATAAATACGTTTCGCAGATGGATTACTACAGTTCCGTACCTTTTCTCCAACAAAATTAACTGCTTAGGGTTTTATAATATCTTGGCTTTATTTCTACAGGATGAAAAACTGCTTCTTAAATTCCGCAAAAAGCGTGACTGAGTAGAGTTGAGAATGTGAAGGAAAATCCATACTTGATCCCGCAATTTGAGTGGAAATGGACATAAAAAGACGTATGCTGAGAGTATTTAGCCTTAGCGGGACAGTTGAGCACATACACCTGGATATCAAGATGCGAAGAGTCTTTAACATTCAGAGAATATCCGAAAAACTAGTTGGGCTATGAAAGAGCAGATGAAGAGCAAGAGTAAGTGCTGTGTTAGCTAATATCTCTTTCTCTCTCTGTGTGGAAAGGGTGTAAACTTGTGTGGCGACGCTCCACCTACCGCCACCGGAGCAGAGCACACCCGAGCTGACCGACCTGGAAGCTTTTGGCCGAGATGAGTCAGCGTTTACCCGGAGTGCGGAGAACCAGCAAAAGGGTACGGTGTGATTTATGAGCAGAACACAAGAGGTCAATGCAAACCAGAACCGGACCTCTGGACGGAGATTGCAGCCGAGAAGCTCTGGCAGACGGAGTGAGCAGGTTGTAAAGCAAAAGCACACTCACACTCATTTCTCGCTCACTCACGGCACGACACTGAAATGGGCAAAAAAAGGGAACTATGGGAGTGGTGATTTGTTGATGGATAGACTTGTTGGCAGAGGTATTTTGCGCTAGAAAGGGAGGGGGAGCTGATTCAAAAACGATAACAAAATGAAACAACAATTCGTCCTTGCATTAGGTCGGTCCGAAAGTTCCCCTTTTTCCGACCTTTCATAAAAACATGTGCAGTAAGAATGGGCAAAAAAGCCAAAAAGTATTCGATGCAGCTTTCCTTTCTTTTTTCAACAGTTATATTATAATTCATTTGCTTTTGTATTCACCAAATGATCGCCGAAATTTTGAGCCATGGTTTTTGCCACACGCAAGTTTGGCAATTTTCCAAAATTTTCGCTTTCAACCTCAGGAAGAGCTGTAATAACAGCTGGATAAAGTAAACAAAGTGCAGATTTTTGGGCATCTACAAATAGCTTTCCAGTATTTTTTGAGGTATTTTTACAAAAGTCTTCACTTTTGTGAAGTCGTGTGATACGCGAACGCATCAAAAACTGAGAACGTCAGAATTTGTGAGTTCCAAAACTCAACACTATTTAATACTAATTCTACAAGGAAAATGAGCTTTCCGCGCTACGAAACGTCGAACTTTGGAAATTCGGCTATATATAAGCGCGTCCAAAAATTCACAATTCATAGGATTTCATCTCCGAAAATTTCACAAATCGTAGAGAAAAACGCCTATCAGAAAGAGGAGAAAAAGCTGAATCGAAAAGTTTCTAAGTCGCTTGTCGATTAATGCTCCGCAAAATTTGGCTTTACTAAACATGTGGACTTGTTATCACCAAAAAATAATTCTGGTAATTTTGGAAAGCTAGCTGCGGATGCCAAAAAAATTTGTTATGTTGAACTTTGTTTGCCGTATCTGGCTCTTATCAAATCTGTTCTAGAAGTTCGAGAACGTTCGCTCAAGCGCTCGTTTATTTTTATCCCACGTGTTTTTATGATAGATTGACAAAACGAAAAGAACTTTCGGACAGACATTATATGTTCTTGTAAAAGGAGCCGCGTATCAAGACTACTGCCCACCGTAACGAACTTAGGAGAAGTCAATCGATATATTGATTGCTCACCTTCTAGTACAAACAGTTTGCGAAACTCATTACTTGACTTGATGTTTTGAGGTGCTGATTGATCCATACATCATGTAAACTAGAATGTATCCCTTAGATAGACTAATTTTTGTGATTAAAACTCAATTCCCATTTATAGAGACATGAACGACTCTTTCGTGATATGATGCAGATCTGTACACTTTCAAACCAATTTTCTTATTGTGTTCCATTTGCGAGTGATACTGTAAATCACTTGCACATCAGCTTTTTACAGATAAGGATGTGTGGTCTCATATTTCTGTGCGATGATCTGTTGAGCGTTACATAAACATCATCATCGCCGCCACTTCGCCTGTCCATTTGGGAAGAGGACGGAAAAAGTTGGGGGGGGGGGAAGAACATGCTGTCCTTTCTGACGGTCTGCCCCATTTTTTTGGCACAGTTTTGGAATTTTTGACGGGCTTGCCTCAAAATTCCGAAATTGAGAAAATTTCCTTTTCCCAATTTTTCCTCTGCATGCTAAGCTTAGTTAGTAGATAGCAACTAAGCTGCTCTTAGAAAGTATACGCTCTGCTCTTCCTAATATTTTTTGTCATGTATCGTGAGGGAAAGATACGATTTTCGAAATGGTGCGAACAAACTTTCGGCTCAGTTTAATATATAGATCAAATTGACCTAATTTTTCTCACTGTAAAAGTAACCACGTGAAAGTGCAAGTAAAGGTCAATATGCCAGTTAATCACCCCACTTCTTAATACTATTCATATGCCATATTTTAATTATACTTTGTGCCTAGTGCTTATTCTTATGTTATTCCAAGTCTAAAATCCTCTGGTCTTTCTTTCTAACATATGCAATCTAGTGCATAAACACTGGGACAAAGGGCATCAGAGCATCAAAGAAGATCCGAAAAGTTGCTAGGGCGGGCGAAGGTGGGGTTCTCCGAAAAATTGACGAGTTTGCTCTTTGATCAGCCAGGCTGAGGGATTGCATATAGTTTATAAATTCTGCTGCAGGAACTAGTTTTTGATCGGAGAATGTTGTTCTCCCTAGTTTGGATAGCTTGTGAACTTGGAAAGGAGTTTGCATGGGAATCTAGTGATCCCAAGCTTGAAAGATGCTATGAAAGAGGCTTAAACTGTTACCAAATCTAATATTTTAAAGTCTAGTTCTGATACGAAGTGTTTTTAGATCATAATATTGACTTACATCAATGCTCCCTTCCTTCTCAGTTCTCCTAATCGCTGAAACGTTTTGCTTCGTAAAAAATCAAAAAATTTTTTATTCAA